CCAGAAGCGGTGAATGCTCCAACACTGGAAGTTTTTAAGAAGAGACTGGACAGCCATTTGTCCGAAATGATATAGGGTTTCCTGCCTGAGCAGGGGGTTGGACTAGATGACCTCCAAGGTCCCTTCCAACTTTATTATTATTATTATTATTATTATTATTATTATTATTATTATTATTATTATTATTATTATTATTATTGTTATTGTTATTGTTATTGTTATTGTTATTGTTATTGTTATTGTTATTGTTATTGTTATTGTTGTTATTATTATTATTATTATTATTATTATTATTATTATGGCAAATCCCATTCTTAGAGCACAGAAGCTGATTTTTTTTTATTGTAAATGAAGAATAAAATCATGATTGGGCACCCCCACCCTGGGCATAACATTTTTCTGTAAATGCAGAAGGCACTAAATCTCCTTTGGGGACCTTTTTTATTGTAGGTTCCATTTTCCTAATTAGTTTCTTTCCTTCTAAAAGGAAGGAAGGACTGGTGGCCAGGGACTTCCCCTTGCTATTTATCCGAGGTTTATTTATCCAATTCTTACAACTGCTCTTGATTGCCTCCAGGAATCCTCCTTTGCATTCTAATTTTTTTTTAAAAAAAAATTACTAATAACAATGTCTACTCCTCTACTGGATAAGGACTGTTCATCTGGGATTGCCAGGGGATGTTATAATGATACACAATGATTGTTCTCTTCCAACCAAATAACCCTGTTTGCACCAATATTTTGATCCGTGTGGCATAACATGGTCTTGCTTATTGCAAAAATGACTTATTATTTTCCAGTATGGCCCAGTATGGCAGGATCGCATAGAACCAAGATATTTCTTCATTGGGTCGGTTTGTAATGTCGAGTTTGATCTCAGTTTGGTTGACTGTCTTATGCAAGGCAGCCTCAGCCCGATTCCTCAGTTGAGAGGAACATCTAGGACTCCACCACACATCCCTGTCCTCTGGGAGAAGAAACAGAGCTAATGGTAAGTGATCATTAGCTGCCTGGAGAGAAAGCATCAATAACATTTACCAGAGGCTTTAAATGTTTCTGAAAGATGCCTCTATATGGTGTTCAGTTTAGATCCAGTCCCCAAAGTTACTTCCGCTGATCTATTCCATTCCTACAGCCTCTTTCAATTAAAATGAAGACATCTCTTTGGCTGGTAAATTGCACCATGAATTGTGTTGTGATGTTTCATTTCCCATCTTTGGATTAGAGTAACAGAATAACAGAGTTGGATGGGACCTTGGAGGTCTTCTAGTCCAACTGCCTGCTCAAGCAGGAAACTCTATACCATTTCAGACAAATGGTTGTCCAGTCTCTTCTTAAAAACCTCTAGTGTTTGACCCACAACTTCTGGAAGCAAGTCATTCCATTGATTAATTGTTCTAACTGTCAGGAAATTTCTTCTTAGTTCTAGGTTGCTTCTCTCCTTGATGAGTTTCCATCCATTGCTTCTTGTCCTGCATACAGGTGCTTTGGAGAATAGGTTGACCCTCCCTTCTTTGTGGCAGCCCCTCAGATATTGGAACACTGCTATCAAGTCACCCCTAGTCCTTATTTTCATTAAACTAGACTGTTGCATGGAGGAAGATGCTGAAATTCTACATCTAAATTCTAGGGCTGGTTCATTTCTCCTTTCCTCTTAGTCTTTATTGGAGCTACAGGTTGGATGTTTATTAGTTTAACCTTGTTACATCTTAATCCAGGCGATAGATCTTTACTCTCCTGGGAAGGAGAGAGTCCTTTACCATCAATATACTACAGAATTTGATCAGCAATATCATTGCCACCCCTCTTAAATGTGGCAAGTTTCATAAATGGGAAATTTGGGAGAAATAAATATTGTGAATTCCTCACTTAATCTAGCTCTCTCCCTGTTCCCTGTTTCCTTGAGCAAAATATAGTAATATCCATCTAGCACTGTGTTCTCTTTCTTCCAGATCTCCTATAAGAAACTAAAATCAAATTTGGAACTAAAGCTTATCAAATATATATCTGGAGAAATGTCGATGGACATTTTCAATCATCCAAGTTGTGGTTGTCCCAAAGGTGCTTTTCCAAAAGGCAACTGGACTTTCTTGTGTGTTTTTTTTAAATGTTTTTCTTCTCATCCAAAAATCTTCTTCAAAGAAAAAAAACCAAGAAAGTCCAGTTGCCTTTTGGAAAAGCACCTTTGGGATATCTCTGGAGAAATTCCAGAGTAGCAAGGCAAGGAGATGAAATGGGGTCAAAACTGTTGCTCCCAGTGTCTCACAAACTCTCATGGTTAATAGTAGGATTTTGCTGTGGTGCATTAGTATGACTAAAGAGATGCATTCATTCACCACAGGGAAAATTGCTAAGTTGTTTGAGGAAATATCTGGAGAGATTCTTTATTCCAGGCAGCTGCTAATCTTTTCTTAACCCACTCTTTGTCTTGTCTCATTCCTCTTTCCAGAACAGTTTCTCATGTGAAACCTGAGATTACATCTCACAGGAGATAAATACCAGACATCTGGGTTGCACTGAAATTAGATTCTCTGCCAATCTGATCTGTAGGAACTTGATGTTCATAGTGCATTGAGTGGAAAGATTCTGACTCATTATCCTGGAAGACTGGACTTCTTTCCTAGGTTTAATTGCTGGTGCTGTCATCCATTGTGTGATGACAGCTCCTTTCTGGAGTTCAGCTTTTCTATCAGCCCACAAAGCTTTATTTCTTCCCCTCTACATCTCCATCTATGAGTCCAGCCTAAGTTGTAATCAAAAGGAGCTTCCTTTGGAAACATCTCCAACCCACACCATGTTGTCCTCCAAGTTTTCTTCGGTCACCTGCTGTGATGTTAAGGGAGGCAGTTCTAAAGCTGCATCTACTGAAATATATCTTCTCCTATGTGTTTCATCTACTAGGCATATGGAACACACTACTCTGGTTATTGATATGATGAAACAGAAGTTGGTACAGAAGTCAAATATTTAGGTCTAGACAACTGTGTGGATGATGTACTCATAGCAATTATTTTTTAATTTGTATGATACTAAATAATAACATTGAAAAGGTTTCAGTGACATAAGAAAGAAAAAGGAGCTTGTATTTTATTATTCAAGTTGATGAATAATCCTTTTGATTTTTCAATGATAGAGTTATTTATAAGGTTCTCTAATCTGCTCTTCATTCTTCAACATTCTTGAAGAGCATTTGCTTAAGGACCCCCTTAGACGAGATAAGCAGTCCCAGAACATTTCCTTCTTGTTGATTTGGTAGTTCTGTACTCTGCCATTTTTAAATCCGTTGTGGAAATAGATATATTTGTGAATTGCTAAGAATATTTTATCCTGATTCTTTTTCCTGATTCCAGATGGAGCCTACCAATGGAACTACAGTCCAGGAATTCATTTTGCTAGGCTTGGAGGACGGGAAGCAAAAACGGTTCTTCCTCCTTATCCTTTTTACTATTGTCTACATAAGCACTTTGGCTGAGAATGCCATTATTATCATGCTGGTGCATGTAGATGCACAATTAGCACAGCTCCCCATGTATAACTTTTTGGGAAACTTCTCCCTGCTGGAGATCTGCTATGTGACCACCACCATGCCCCGTATGCTCTTTGATCTAGCTTCTCCTCAAGGGATCATCTCCTTCCAAGCCTGTTTCATACAGTTTTACCTTTTCTACTCACTTGGTAGCACTGAAGACTTCTTTCTCTCAGCCATGGCCTTGGATCGCTATCTGGCCATCTGCCACCCACTCTATTATCCATTAATTATGTCTCCAAAGAACTGCTCCAAGCTTGTGGCTAGTTGCTGGATGGTTGGCTTTTTGGTATATGCTGTGCCAATAATTTTGATCTCTAGGCTGTCTTTCTGTGGCCCCAATGTCTCTGACCATTTTCTGTGTGATCAAGCCATTCTATCCTTAGCTTGCCCTCCATTTGGAAATACTCTGCGTATCCTTTTTTTCATGAATATTTTCATCATCTTAGGCAACCTAATCTTTGTAACTATTTCCTATGGCGTTATAATTGTCACACTGATCAAATCCTCTAACCAAAGTAGCAGGAAGAAAGCCTTCTCCACCATATCCTTTCACCTCATGGTGGTGACCCTTTTCTATGGTTCTGTGGCAGGAATGTATGTAACTCCAAGTGGAGATGGCCAGTCATGGGTCACTAAAATCGTCACTGTCTTCTTCACTGCCGTTACGCCCTTTCTCAATCCCATGATCTATTGTCTGAGGAACAATCAGATGAAGGAGGCCCTGGACAGGTTGCTGAGAAGGATGGAGGGATGGCTGAGGAAAAACATCACATCGTGACAACAGGAGTGGAAAGGAGAAATCTAATAAACCTTTAATACCAGTGTTGTAAATCCTTTTAGAAAAATCTCATTTTTTTAAAGTAGATTTCAAGTACAAGGAACTTAACCAAGGAAAATATAGGTGTCCTAATTTTCAGGTGATTGATCCAAATTCATATTTACAATCCTATTATTCTCAATTCAAAATGCAACATTAATAGGGCAATAAAGGTAAAGATAATGGTTTCCGCCGTCTGACTCGTCTAGGGGATGGTGCTCATCTCTGTTTCTTAGCTGAGGGAGCCAGTGTTGTCTGAAAACACTTCTCTGACAATGTGGCCCACATCACTATACGCTGGTGCACATGGAATGTTGTTATCTTCCCATCAAAATGGTACCTATTTACCTACTTGCATTTACATGCTTTTGAACAGCTAGGTTGGCAGGAGCTGAGGCAGGGATGGGCGCTTACCCTGTCATGCGGCGCTTGGGTCTTGAACTCAGGCTGCCTTTAAATCTTCAAATAAATTTACGTCTTTAAATAGTGCAATATTTATGGGTTAAATTCTAACTTCTCCATCGTCATACTCTGAGATGTCCAATACATATCCACACACAGGCAAAAGTTTCACTAATCTTATTTTTACGATCATAGAAAAAATATTTTACACTGTTTAAGTCGATCCTTCCTTGATCTACCAAAACAAGACATTCAAGCTTCATAGATCTTTCAAATAACTAATATTGGTATAATTAGCTTCCTTCATCTTTCTATATAGACTTTCCATACAGGTAATTACTACAGATACTGTGTTTCCCTGAAAGTTAGACCCAGCCCGATAGTAAGCCCTAGCTTGATTTTTGGGGGTGGGCCTACTATAAGCCCTACTCCAAAAGTAAGCCCTAGTTTGGGGGTGAGGTGCACCCCTAAAAATTAAGCTAGGGTGGGGGTAGGGGGGGTGAAGCTGCCCCACGCACCCCGCACCCACTTACCTTACCGGTAGGACCACCACAACCAGGCCTCCCTCACCCTAACACCTGTCACGCCGCTACTTGACTTCGTCTGAGGTCGCTTGCCACTACTTGTGGCCAGACGCCATGTGGCACATTGCAACGTTGAAGCTCCTCCTGGAAGGATGCCACATGGCACTTTGGACTGTTTCCGCTGCTCGTGTGCTTTAGGCCGCTTCTGCTGCTTGCATGCTTCAAGCCACTTGCACACTTCAATCAGGAGACCATGTGACGCTTTGGGCCGTTTCCGCTGCAGAAACGGCCCAAAGAGTCATGCAGCGTTCTGCTGGGAGGAGCAGAAATGGCATAAAGCACCATGAGGCGTCCTGCTGGGAGGAGCAGAAAGGGCGCAAAGCACCATATGGCGTCCTGCTGGGAGGAGCAGAAAGGGCACAAAGCACCATGCAGCATCCTGCTGGGAGGAGCAGCAATAGTGCAATGTGCCACATGGTGTCCGGCCACAAGTGGTGGCAAGCGGTTGCAGAAGTCAAGCAGCGGGGTGACAGGTGCCGGGTGTGGGAGGCCTGGCTGTGGTGGTCCTAAGTTAAGACATTCTCTGAAATTAAGACCTAGTGCCTCTTTTGGAGGCAAAAAAAAAATATAAGACCGGGTCTTAATTTCGGGGAAACATGGTAATTCTTCCCCCTTCAAAACCTCCAACTACTATGAAGCACCTTCTGACAAGCAAACTTAAAAGAGGAAGCCAGATTCATTTAACCACCATGTTACTGACCATACTGTGCCATTCTATTTGCACTTTATCTTCCACTAGGTCAGGGGTAGGCAACCTCGGCTCTTTTATGACTCGTGGACTTCAACTCCCAGAATTCCTGAGCCAGCATGGCTGGCTCAGGAATTCTGGGAGTTGAAGTCCACGAGTCATAAAAGAGCCAAGGTTGCCTACCCCTGCACTAGGTGTTATGCTGTAATATGAGGGCAAGAAGATGACAGTTCAGCCAGTCAAAAATGAATATACAAATCAGTAAAATAAGATAAAGTCTTTGAATAAAACTTTTGCAAGAAGCGCTTAGTTTAATGGTCAAGAGCTGGTTAAGAGAACTATCTTTCTTTCTGTTCATGGAAATACTGTCAATTTTGGTAACCCCCTTCTCCACTTGGAATATACCAACTGATCTTTCATAGTGAAGAGTGAATCCAGGGTCAGTTTCCTCACCAGGCAAAATAATCCCCTGCCAATTCAAATGTCACAGAATCTCCTTTTCTGGATTTATAATAATAATAATAATGATAAAGTTGGAAGAGACCTTGGAGGTCATCTAGTCCAACCCCCTGGTCAGGCAGGAAACCCTATACCATTTCGGACAAATGGCTGTCCAGTTTCTTCTTAAAAACTTCCAGTGTTGGAGCATTCACCGCTTCTGGAGGCAGGTTGTTCCACTGGTTAATTGTTCTAACTGTCAGGAAGTTTCTCCTTAGTTCTAGGTTGCTTCTCTCTTTGGTTAGTTTCCACCTGTTGCTCCTTGTCCTGCCTTCAGGCGCCTTGGAGAATAGCTTGACTCCCTCTTCTTTATGGCAGCCCCTGAGATATTGGAACACTGCTATCATGTCCCCCCTCGTCCTTACATCGTGGTGACCAAAACTGGATGCAGTATTCCAAGTGTGGCCTTACCAAGGCATTGTAGAGTGGTGTTAATACTTCGCGTGATCTTGATTCTATCCCTCTGTTAATGCAGCCTAGCACTGTGTTGGCCTTTTTGGCAGTTGCAGCACACTGCTGGCTCATATTTAAGTGATTGTCCATTAGGACTCCAAGATCCCTCTCACAGTTACTACTATTGAGCAAGGTACCCCTATACTCTACCTGTGCATTTGGTTTTTCTTGCCTAAATGTAGAACCTTACTTTTTTCACCATTGAATTTCATTTTCTTAGATAGCGCCCAGTGTTCAAGTCTGATTTGAATAGTATGATTAGTTTATCTCATAAACTCATGAGTTTAATTCCACTGACATCATTTAACACCAGCCTAGGGAATTCCTGTTCCTGAAAATCTCCAAAATGTATCCAGGGCATTCACCTTGACAACTGCTCTGGACTTCATCCAGCACCTTCTGTATTCTTTATAATGCTTTACTGGATAAGGAGTGTTCAACTGATGTTGCTAGTAGATGGTATAAATGAAGATAGTGGCTTTATTCTTGAACACAAACAGGCCTGTTCACATCAATATTTTGGTCCATGTTGGATAACATGCTCATGCTTAATGCAAAAAGGACTTGTTCTTTGCCAGTAGAGACCAATCAGGATCTTCTGGTGGCATAGCACTTAAAATATATATATATATCGGGTGGCTTCTAATGATTTTTGACTATACTTCTAGCAATTCAAAATTTCAATCACAATTGAGCTCATTTTAATTGACCAGTTTATCCAAGCCAGTCTCAGCCTGATCCCTGTCCTCTGAGTCAAAGAGTGGAGCTAATGGTAAGTGATCATTATTGGCCTGGAGAGGAAGCAGCATTAATATTTACTAGAGGCTTTCAAAGTCTTTGAGAAATAGCTATGTATGGATCCAGCAACAAAAGTTTATCAAAAGGAGCTGTTGAATAAGAGAATGGTGCTGAAATTCTACATGTAAATTCTTGGTCTGGGTCATTTGGTCTCTCCTATCAGTAAAATCTCTACCTAAGAGGTGCTAAGCCACTAGCTACATGGTTTTTAGTTTACCTGTGCTACTTCCAGACCATAGATTTTTAATCCACTAGGTGAGAGAGAGGTTTTTATCAGCAATGTATTGCAGAACTTGACCACCTCTCTTGAAAGTGTCAGGTTTATTGAATGATGCTTGCAATTTGGGAAAAAAAATGAATGCTGGGAGCTTCCTATTTAATCTAACACTTTCCCTGTTTCTGGTTTCATTGAGCAAAATTGAATTATAGCCATCTACTGTACTATTAGGTGCCCGTTCCTCCAGATCTCCTATAAGAAAATTCAATTAGATCGGAAGCTAGATCTGATCAAGTATATCTGGGGACATACAGTATCCTTATAACCAGAGAAACTCCATGATACCCAGATAAGGAGATAGAGTGGTGATGGTGCTGATGCTGAAATTCTACATCTAAATTCCTGAGCTGGGTCATTTGATCTGTCCATTGGTAAAGTGCCACCCCCACAGTCTCACAAACTTTTATTGTTTAATAGATAACATAGAATTCTGCCCTGGGGCACTAATGTGGCTGAAGAGACTCACTTTAAATTTGACTACTGTACTGGCAGATTTACTAAATAACTCAGGGTCATAAGGGGAAAGATTTTGACTTGGGGCAGTTGCTTATCTTTTCTTGACCCTCTCTTGTTCTTGCCTCATTCCTCTTTCCAAGACAGCCTCTCAGATCAAGCCTGAGCTTACAGCCCATAAAGCACAAGCTGTGAGATGCCCCATTTTAATTTCTCTGTTCCTGTTGATGTTCATAGTGCTTCAAACATGCTTTTCTCTGTCTCAGCACCTCTGGAGTTTTCTATGGAGTCTAAATGCAGGTGATCTTTCTTCTTACATTGTGGCACCTCCTTCCTGAGATTTAGTTCTTTTGTCTTCCCCCCACATTATCTTTGAGTTCAGCTTCAGTTGAAATCAAAGGAGCATCCCTATCAGCAATTTGAATTCACGCCCTTTTATCATCCATGTTTGGCTCTGTTGCTTGTTACAGGGCAATTCTAGGTCTGTATCTATATGGGAAGAAGACACAACCTGCAATAACCAAAGGAAGACCCACCACCAAGACAATGGTGAGATAAAAGAAGTCTGAGGGGGAAAGTAGAAATGTAATTTGAGAAAGTGACCCAGACAAGACCCTGATGAAGATAAGGAGAAGGAAGACATTCAGGATTGCAAGTTTATATTACTATAACTTTAGAATGAAATTAGTATTAATATTCATAGTTTTGGTTTCCCTGTATAACCCACTTTGAAGAGGTAACCGTATTTATCATCTCTTGTTTCATCTATATTTTATGCTATGTGAAATATTTTGCTTTGGCTATTGAT